TTTTTTTTTTTAAAAATCTCAATCTTTAAATATTTGCAATGTTGAATTTTATCTCTTATAATTAAGAGTATGCTTGGATACAAAATTTTTTAAAAAAATCTGAACATTTTTAATTCATATATTTTTTTAACTCAACCCCACTATCATCAATATTTTCAATATAATTAAATAACATCAATCAGTCATCATTACACACCACAATACCTTAATTTACTATTCATCCACTCAAATGATTTTTAACTAACTATCACTTCAAATCTTCTATCTCGTACATCAGATCAACTTTAATCATTTTATTTTAAATATTATTTTAATATATACACTAACAACTAACCGTACCAACTTTTTCAAAACTAACCAAACCAACAAAACTAAAAATTATTATATCCAATCATCCTCTAAACGATTCATTTGACAACGTATAATTTGGTAATATTTTGATGATTTCAATCAGGGGAGGAGCTATATACAGACCAGTATGGGCCTAGGCCCACACTGAAAAAATAAAATTTTTTATTAATTAGGTATAGCTAGAACTCAAAAAATAGCTTAATATCCTAATAGAAAATAAAAATTATGACAATACTTGCATAAACACAAACAAAAAATAAAAAATAAAAAAGAAAATGAAAAGAGAGAAATAATGGTGATAAGAAATTCTTGTTCTTACCAATTTTTGAAACTAATTTTAACCTTTTTTTTATTATTAAACTTGTAAGAAAAGTTACACACTTATTGTACTTTTTAGCACTCTTCTAGTTAATTGACTGTTACTTCTTAATTATTAAAAAATAATCATCTATTGTACTTTGTGTGTGGTTAATAACTTAAATTGTAGGCTCTTAAATGTTTTTTATATTAGTACATCATTTTATACATTATGGTTTTTTTAAATATTATAATTTATTCAATTTTTACATTAATTATGGAGAAATAATTTTGGAATATGTCTTGAAAAGAAAAGTTCATATTAAAATATTTTAAAATGAGATACTTTAATTCCAAATATATCTGAAGGCGAATTCTAATATTGTTAGACTTTGGACGAAAAAAAGTGCGATAAAAAAATTCAACGATGTTATTATAGGATGATGTTGAGCTATATATGAAAATTCATAACTATATTATAAATGTGTGTTTTTTTATTTATACTTTTATTACAGAATAATTTTTTTCAATAATGATTAGGCCCACACTCATTCTATTGGCTAGATTCGCCCCTGATTTCAATGTTGGCATGCTAGTAACCACCCTAAAATTCATTGTCTTTGGTGAAAAACAAAAAACGTTCTTATTACAATATAATACTACTTGTGAGTTGTCCCACATCGTTTATACAAGAAAATAGACCCAACTCATAAGACTAGTGGATTACTCCTCCTTTCACCAATTGGTTTTAGAATGGAACCTCACTTGGGCTTCATCTGGGCTTTTCCTGTCATGATGCTCTTCATTTGCAGTCGGTTCTATTGAGACCGTGCAATGTCGTACCCGTCTCCCAGCCCTGGGCTTGGGCACCCAGCTCAGTCGGGCTTGGGGTTCGTATGAAGGAGTGAGTTACACATCGTTCATACAGTAAAAATAGACCCAACCACTACAAGAAAATAGAGTTCTAGTGAAGAATTTTTTTGTTACTATGTTGTCACTATATCTACTGTCACTATATCTATAATTGTTGTCACTATATCTACAACAATTGTAGATATAGTGACAATAATTGTAGATATACTGACAGTAGATATAGTGACAAAAAAATTCTTCACTAAAACTCTATTTTTTGTAGTGTTATAAGACTAGTGGGCTACTCATCCTTTCACCAATTGATTTTGGGATGAAACATCACTTGAGCTTCATCTGGGCTTCCCCTTTCTTGGTGCGCTTCATCTGCGTGAGACCACACCCGTTCTACCCCCGATTCTTACATGGTATCATAGCCGGTTCTATTATGACCGTGCAATGACGTACCCGTCTCCCAGCCCTGGGCTTGGGCACCCAGCTCAATCGGGCTTGGGGTTCGTATGAAGGACTCACAAGTGAGTTGTCTCACATCGTTTATACAAGTAAAATAAACCAACTTATAAGACTAGTGAGTTACTCTTCCTTTCACCAATTGGTTTTGGGACTGAACCTTACTTGAGCTTCATCTGGTTTTCCTTGTTGTTTTGGGATGAAACTTCACTTGGGTTTCATCTGGGTTTTCCCTGTCTTGGTGCGCTCCTCTGCGTGGGATTGAACCTCACTTGGGCTTCATCTGGGCTTCATGTTGGTTTTCGGACGGAACTTCACTTGGCTTCATCTAGGTTTTCCCTGTCTTGGTGCCCTCATATGCGTGGGATTGTATCTCACTTGGGCTTTATCTAGGTTTTCCATGTCGTGGTGCGCTCATCTGCGTGGGACCGCACCGGTTGATTCTTACAATTTTGATTTATTAAAATAAAAGTAGTATAATCACCGTGTACTACACTGGTACTTGTTAAGAAAAATATATCTAAAATTAAATAATAATAACAAAAATTTTAGTTTGTAAATACTTTTTTTTTTTAAAAAAATACTATTATTTATATTTAAATTGATATCGTTACTTACACGACTTACCATCTTATATTATATAATTTTTTAATATATATCAGATAACTACTCTGTAGTTAAGTTAGTTTAAATAATAATATTTTTTGAATCAATATTAATAGATAATTTATAAACTCATTTAAAACTAGTTTATTCAATATAGATATATACTCTATTTTAAATTAAATTAAGCTGTTAAAGAATGATATAAAATATGGAAAAGTAATACATGTATAAATTAGTTAAAAACTCATTTAAAACTACATAATACCAAATTTACGGAACTATCTTAGGATATACTTTCAAAATAATCTATAATTATATCTATATCTATATCTATATAATGGACGAATCCATTTTGCCAAAAATGGACGAATTTTCCCGCTTAAAATTTTTCGGATAAAATTGGAAATATTGTTTGTATACCAATTCTGTGGATAATTTTGTTAACAAATATTTTGGAAATATTGTTTCTATAATTGTCTCGTTGATAATTTTGTTAGCAAATATTTATTGATCCCGTGGATCTTGCTTGGCCTTGAGCGATGATTTTATTAGCAACTATTTTGTTAGCAAATATTTTGTTAACTTTAGGAGGATATATTATATTTCGGACGATAGATTTTGTTAGCAAAGATTTTATTGTTAATTTACATAAACACGGTATCAAAGAAATAGAAGGATTCTAATTGCATTTTTATTCAAATATTAATATAAACATATTGTCATCTTTATGTCAATTATAATTAATTTATTAATTAATATACACATATTATCATCTTTACGTGAGATGTGATTATATAAATCCTGATTAAGATTGAAACTACGGTCACAAAAAATATATTTTATACGTACTCAACAACAAAGGTTCAAAAAAATACCTCCCCTTTTTGTGTCGATAAAAAAATTGACGAACGCATTGCCACAACTAGCTCTTAAACTTTGTCTAATTAGGATGTACGAAAGGGTTACAACCCATGGAGGAATGTGATTCACTTTATTGAGTGCATCTTTCATGATTCCGAAGTGCGTATATTGTAGAATATTATTAGTCTAGCTATCTAATGTGCTATTCATATTTATTGTCCAATATTATTAGTCTAGCTATCTAATGTGCTATTGATATTAAATCTAGCAATATGTAAATTTTTCCTTTTCTTTTTTTTTTTTAATTTGATATGTTTATGGCAGTAATGTTCTCCTACCCACGGTGGACACATGTTAATTTGTCCACCGCTTATGTGTCATGCACA